TAGATTAGAATGAGATTTAGGAGTCATATATTGTAATGATTTCATCATCACTCTGTATAAATGTTTTGTATAATTTAGATGGTTATTTATAAATATTGTTCAGGTCAATTATTAGAAACATTTTACGCTCCATGGTAGTTAAATCTACATCATTCAATGTCAATTTAATAATTTATAAATGTTTATTAAGAAATCGTCGATCGTAGTTTGCAAAATCACACTGTGTATTTAAAGCATGAACCACTTTGTATATAAAATAGTCACAAAACAAAGAGACATATGAAATGTCATAAAATTACGTTAGCAACAAATCAGATTCTGCATTCTGAAATCTTTTTGACAACCAATCAAAATTACAGGTATACATTGAAATTTGAATTATGAGAAACACTTAAATTAGAATTTACACAACCATTAATAATTTTGTACATACTATCGCTGTAAAATATTTATTTATACGTAAAAATAACATTCACGTCAATAAAATAATAATATCTAAGAAAAATACGTTTGACAGAAAAATATCATAACCGTGATTGGTTAGTTATAAAAAAAAGTGAGAGATTAAAAAAAAACGGTTGCTAGGAGGTTGTTGACCGGCGGATGGGACGGGATGACAAAAAAAAAAGGTGATGGTAGAAAATTTTGTGAATTAATTAAATTAAAGCATATTGGAGCAATTAAAAGGTGCTTAAAAAAGTTGAATCTAATGTACTGGAAGCACTAGTACAAATAACACAGTCAGAAGCTATAATTTGGTGAGATAAATCTATTAACTATTTACCTTGTCAGGGTCCCGTATGTGTTATCGCATACCGTTATAATAGTCACATCTTGCCACTGTGCACATAAAGCCGACTTTCGTGTGCATGAAATTACATTGCTGCATCCTATAAGAAAAATAATATTTGATCTTTAGACGTTATATTCTATTCACGTGAATTTATGGTAGGAATTTAGAAGTTAATTCAGAAGGCGTTTTTCAGGCTGAACGCATCTAGCGTTCAGTTGAAATTAGTAAATCTCCAAAATAAAACAGAGACTGTCTATAATTTGGTATCATCATTCGAATTAGGGTGATATAAGTTCATTGAATATATTTTAAAATAATATACCCGCATATTAGTAAATAAATATACTGTATGTTAAAATTAATACTTACCAATTACATAAAATTATTCGAATAATTTTCACAAGTGCACTCACGGTGTTAAAAGGTCTCCATTTCGTTATAGTTATTTAACACGTGATATACATTGATACCAACATTCGAACGGATTTAGAATCTACCGTGAGTGAAACTGATTTGGTAATAGATTTAAGGTATTAGTTAATCTTGTTTTTTTTTTGCATTTTATGATAATATTATATGTCCATTTACATCCAAATCATTATTATAGTTGTTGTGTTCTGATTCGTGTTTCATTATATAAAAAGATTTACAACTAAATAACAATTTAAAAAAAATTTGGTTAAGACATCTATTGGTGGGTAGTAAAAGTTCATCACAGAAGAATAAGATAGATTTGCAGAATATAGCAGAACACCTGTCTGAGATTAGAATCTCTACTCTTCGACTAGCTACAGACCAGGCATAATAATAATAAAAAAAAATATTGAATAATAGTCCAGTCAAAGAAAATAAAAAAAAAAAAAAAAATAAAAAAAAAATAAATTCATATAAAACTCAGGACAAACTAACAATTGAAACCAAATAAATTAATTCCCATATATTATTAATATATCATTACAATATATGGCCCCTAAAATACGTTTGCAGTTTCTGTGGTCCAAGTGAATAAACAGTTGCTCAATAGATGGGTTAGAGTTGATGATACTCGAGGAGAACGTTTTTCTAACAGTTATTAAAACACCTCCACCTCTGCTAAAGATGCTGGACTGGGAGGAACGATCCTGTCTGTAGATATTAAAACCGTTAAGACCAAGTTCGGCGTCTAACGTTCTGGTAATAAACAGCCAGCTTGCCCAAATCTAGTTTTTTGTAATAATTACAGGAGCATTGTTGACATATTTAATTGTTAAGTTTAGCTCACCAGCTTGCTGACGTCTCAATAACTCGCTTCTGACAGTGTCTAGAGTTTTCTTTTGGTTAGGAGTTTGGTCCAGATGTATAAAAATCTTTCTATCGCGGCTGATATTGTGTTTGTTTTTGATAATAGCGTGAACGTCACGAGTTGATTTCAACACAACTTTAAGAGGTCGATGTCCATTTTTATTAGTCTTTCCAAAGCGGAAAACTTTGGTATCGTTAATGTCAGTGATATTAGCATCAGCAGCCTTTGTTATTAGAGTTTTGACTTGATTAATATCATCAGAGACATTGTTTGGCTCAGGTAGGTTAAAGATTAGCAAGTTGTTGGCTCTCTTTTGACATTCGTGAAGTTCGGTAATAATGTCCTCACTAATCATCGGGATTTCGTTCTTTCTATCTTTGAGCTTTTTGACTTCATCTTTCAATGAATTTACTTCAGATCTAAGGCTATCAATTTGTCTCAGTAGTGCGGGTGCACTTTTAAATGCCTGGCGACAATCCCCGCAAAATTAAACCAGAGTTCTTTTTTGTAAAACAATAGCACGCAGTTCAGAAGCCCCTAGGCCTGTGCAACCATCTGAGGGGTGCATTGAGACATGACAACTGTCGCAAGCAATTAGCTTATCTCCGAGAACATCACCGCAGGTTACACAATTACTAGCCATTTAGAATGAACAAGCTTTGAACAAATTAGTAAAATTTCGCTGTAAGCTACCAGACTATTTGTAATTAAAAGTCGGTTATTGTTGTTGATCCAGTCGTTAAAATTTTGCTCTAAGCTGCCAGACTATTAGTAAATGAATAAAAGTCGATATTTGTTATCAGGAACAGGTTTTTGTGGATAGTTTTTGCTTATACTTAATTGATAGATAAATGCAGAGAATTAATTAACTAATACTAATAGTTGCACTTTCTACAGATGTTTGGCAATGGCAAATTTATTATGGGCTTGAAGAAAAACTTACATGATTTTACCCAGTCAAAAAACAATTTTAGACGTAGGTATTATAACCACTTTAAAACAGTAACTTCGAGGAGCAGTTTTTAGAATTAATATTTCAATTGACGAACGAAACTATAACTATAGTTAATACATGAGATTTTAAGGTAGATTTCTGAGTAAAATCTTTGGAATAAATGTCACATTCTTTCATGACTTATTAAATGTCGCTGTAAATTAGATTTCCGAATATATTCTTTCAAACAAATCACATTTAATGGGTTTTTCATCAGAGTGACTCATGAAATGTTGTAAGGAAGCTTTTAATAAAGACCTAATGATCTAATTAATTTTTTTCTTCTTCTAATATCTAAATGAAACAGTTTTGTGCTTCTCCTGTAAAATTATTAGGTATGGAGTTAGAAGGTTTACATGTTAAGGTAACAATATATTACCTAATTAAATTAGATTTTATGAAAACAAAATAAAACAATCCATGTTAATTTATGCTTTGTGTGACATCAGGCAACTATTTTAAATGTCAAAATGTTGTGGTTAAAATTCCTAATTCAATATTTCCTACAAACTCTACTAGAAAATAAAATAAATAGTATCAACATTTGTAGGTGGAGCAAACATGCCTTAGGAGATTGTTTTACCTTGCAATATAAAAAACAATAACAATTGTAGCTATTTTACAGCTATTACACACACCCCCTACCTTGAGTATATTATTCATTCATTAAAATATTATGCATTTCATTAGTTTTATCCAGCTTTGATAACATACTTACTTTTTTGGCAGACAGGACATGGGTATTTCCTCCTCTTTGTCTGAAAAACATTAGTCACATTATTTGTTAAAGGTTTCAATATACTTTCAGTTCGTTTACTACACGACTCTATAAAATAGTCCGGATAATCAGTAATTTCATTTTTTAAAGTAGGTAAATCACAATGCGAAGTCAAAAGTTCACTCTCAGTTTTCAGTTGCATGTACTCACTAACTTCTTGCTTGATACTATTTGTATCTATATCTATCGTTTTAAAATCATTGGTAGCCTTAAGTTCTTTTTTAATAGATGCTGGAAAAATTGGCACCCAATTATGCTCAATTTTTATTGGCAATTCCAAAGGCTGAGTTAGTTCAAGTTTAGACATTTTATGTTTGATATCAATTGGAAACAGATTCACTTCATTTTTGAAAGTTTGTGTATTTCCATTTTTAGAAAGCGAATCAACCTGTGTTTGGCTGGAAACAATATCTGGTTCGGTTTTAATAACCATTTCATAAGGATCGATGCATTCTTGTTTCAGGTCCATCGTATCAACATTTTCAACTATGTTTCAATAAAAAATGTAAAACCCAAAATAGTGTACTATTCTGGGGTAAAAGTAAAATCATTGAAAAAATTATAAAAATACTGCAAACAACTATGAACTATTTACAAAACCATGGATGGATTGATTCTTGTAATTTCAAATCTCAATGTTGCAGATAGTTGTTGATTGCATGTTAATAGTATTGTCCCAGTGGCCAGTATAGGTATTGTAATGTAAAATTATAAATATATAAATAACAGAGACTGTAAATAACAATAATAAACAATTCTTCCAGATTGACAATTGGCACTCAAATGATTGACACTTGACACAAATTGGCACCAGTGTTGCTATCTGACATCTGGCAACACTGATTTGCACACAACACAAACAAAAGGTGGTCTTGTTTATTAAGGTCTTTGGAACAAAAAGAAGTATTTTTTAGTAAATTTTTAATTTAAACTTATGAGTGTGAAATTGTTTTAATTGGAAAGCAAACGCTAGAAAAGCGCACCATTTTATGATTAAAAAAAGTCAAATTTGAGATTCATCTTTTTTAATTTAAGAACCTTGAACAACGTAAGTAATTTGTAGATGGTGTTATATTGGCCTTGTACAACATAAGTAATCCGAATAATGGGACCAGTGTCAAGACTGTCAAATATCGTGTCATGTCAAATGTCATTTTACATTTGTGTTGTGGTTGTGACATTGTGATTTGTTGAGAATTTTGTGAAATAGCAACTTTTATTAATTATAAAAAATAATCAATTATAAAAACACAAAAGGCAGCAGTGTTTTCAAGCATATAATAAAATAAAAAATTTAAAATGGCTTTGGCTATGCAAAGAAAGGCCAATGTGCGTCTACCACCAGAAATTAACAGAATTCTCTATGTGAGAAACTTACCTTACAAAATAACTGGAGAAGAAATGTACGATATATTTGGTAAATACGGAGCAATTCGACAAATTCGAGTAGGGAATACTCCTGAAACTCGTGGAACAGCATTTGTTGTATTCGAAGATATTTTTGATGCTAAGAATGCTTGTGATCACCTATCAGGATTCAACGTCTGTAATCGATATCTCGTCGTTTTATATTACCAAGCAAACAAGGCTTTCAAGAAAACCGACATTGACAAAAAACAAGAAGAAATTGACAAAATGAAATCAAAATATGGTATCAGTACTTAAAAATGCATAGTTTTTTCATAGAAGTGGTGTTTTACACTATAGACTATTGATAACCTTGATCTAAGCATTTATGAAGATTTATGTATTAATTTTATAAATTTGGATTAAAATATATTTATTGTATGTTAGTTTTTATATTACCTAAATTGACATGACAGTCTATAGTCACAGATATTTGCGTGTTTGAATATCCACATCCAATGCATTTTTTACATCGGACATACCTGTCCTACTACATTTATATATACTGAATCATGTGATCAATGATTTACAACATCTCGGATGCATCTGATGTGTACATTCAAACGCAGCAATTTATTTATTTATTTTGTTTTGCACAATTGGTGAACAGAAAGACAACAAAATAAGCAACAGTTATGTGACATTTCCACATTTTTGACAAATTAAATTGCACAGGTTATAACAGTTGAAAAATCTTTCAAATGGAGCTCCACAAGGTAGTGTGTACTGTGGCACATTTTTAAAGAAAAATTCAATTTTTTTTTAAAAAAATATTTATTGTTTTATCTTAATAAACATAACTTTAGATGATAATAATAATAACTACAGTATACTGAAATAAAATATTTATATAACTACAACAATAAAAAGTATTTTGACTTTCACATTCGATTTTACTATGAATGGATACTCTGTGGTAATGTAACATTTTGTAATGCTTGCTAAATCCAAAATATGACGTTCCATGGTATGCTGACATTGATAAAACTTCATTATGTCTCTATCCCATTTCCTTAGAACACAACAATAATAAATTCCTTCCTTTTTCTATGAAAGGTTGTTCATACAGATGTTTAAACCGTCTCACTAAATCCTCAACTTGGGCACTATATAAATCGAAGTCTGCCGTTATTTTTATGCATCTCTTTCTGCTTCCTTCGATACAATCTCCGCACTTTTCCGAGTAACACTCGAGAATTCTATCACAGCCAATCAGATTTACATCTTCCAAAGTGGAATGCTCCAGTAACCATCTTAGGGAAATTCCGGTTAGTTCCGTATTATAGGAAACATCGATTTTCAACAGAGAACCTTCGCTACAGGCCCTTAAATAAGAAAAAATATTATTAAAAAATTGGGACCTATATCTTCGATATCTTTTATTATTAATTAATTTTGTGTTCATAGGGAATTATCCACTGCCGAACGAATATACAGGGACAAAAAAATTTAAGTTCCTTACCTGAGTATTCCGAACAGATCATTATCCTGCAGATTACATCGAGACAAATTCAAACATTCCAATGAACGAAACGAAGCGAGTCCAAAATTAGCCAAAGAATTTTTAGAAACGTTTAAATCTATCAATTTACCGACAGTCGTCCAAGAAATCATCCGTTCCACGTCCGCCTTACTGAACTGATTTCCGCTGACGTTCAACCATAAAATATCCTTCAATTCCAGTTTCAAATTCAAATGTTCTTTAAAAACTGTTTTAGTAAACGCTAAGTTCGGCATATCTAAAGTCTCCAATCGCAAACTGTTTGTGATCTCTGCTAAGTGCGCAAAAGCGTTGTTTCTCAAATAATTATCGCCGATATACAAATGTTTCAACTTCTCTAATATCGGCGATGAGGTTATCGAAAACATTTTTACCATTTCAGCCAAGTGGGCGCTGGTTAAACCGGTGCATCTTAAATTTAACGACGAAAGATTGACCAAAGAGGGCAGCGATCCGCATAAAATGATCATACAGTCGACGTCTACGAAGTTGCCGGACAGATTGAGCTCTAGTAGCGTCGTTTGATGGTTGAGAGCCTTGCATAAGGGCGCGAGAACGTTGTTCGTAAATCCTTTGTTTTGTACGCTCAGTTTTACGGATACTTCTTCTAAGTGCGTCGCTAGCGATTCGTTGACGGCTAAAACACAATAAACAATATATAAAATATCAATTAATCGATAAAATATATTTATCACATACTTTCTTTCAAATGAGAACACGCCTCTTTGTATCTGTCAACTAAAAGAGTCATGTACAACTTGGTAATTCTACCGACGACGGTCTCGGCCTGCCTGGTTCCCAGAGGAAATAGTAAGCTGAGAGGATCGTCATCGCTCAGCAGCGCTCCGCTGGACGTTTCCAATTCCAAACAGGGCTTAGAACATTCTTTCCTGAAAAGACGTACACAAAATCAAATTTTTAGATCATTTTCAATATGATGTAATCAGAACCGTTCCAACATATTTTGAACTCATTTTTAAATGGTTTGACCATGACCAACTTCCACCATAACAAGCGTAGAAATGTTATAATTATTGATGAAAAATATACATATAAAGATGTAAATGTATTTTAACAGTGTACCAAAAATTGTCCCGTTTATTAAAAAGTTTTTCCAAAAAACAAAATAAATCTTTAATAGTTGAAATCTGCATGATGTATACAAACGCTAATTTGCTATTTACCAAGCTGGATGAATTCAAATTGGTTGTCATTCAATAAAAACCAACTATTATTTTTATAACAGAGACCGGGACAATAACGCTAATACACAGTTAGTTACACTTCCAGGATATACGCACTTCCAAAGTTCCAAATAATAATAATGTTTATTTCATAATAAGAAATTTACAACATAAGTACAATTAAAAAATATAAGAAGATAAGCTAAAGTTTGTACATTGGAATATAAAAGAAAATAAAAAAAAAACAATTTAAATAACAAAAATTGTATGTAGAGCCACTGATAACATACCTGAAATAAACACAATAATAGAACCCTAAGAACCCGGAGGTTGTGTAAAGGTTGTCGTTTTAAATATAGATGTGAAGCATTCAATTTTTTTTTGCTCACAGAGAAAATGGCATGGTAAGGAGTATTAATATATATACGAAACAGCATAAATGGGATCCAAATTAATTCTAGCCTTAGTGAAAATTATAATAATTATATTGCTTCGAAGATTATGTCATGCTTCTGTCATGTATTTACTAAGGCTGGTAACCGTGACCGGTTCCGTAGGACCAAAAACCGTTAAAGAACGTAACCGGTTTTTATCCGTAACCGGTGTAACTTTAATCGAACTGGTTAAACCTGTCACTTGTTGAGCCGTAACTGGTTTAACAGTACCCGAAACCGGTTTTAGCGAGACCGTGAGCGAAAACGAACAAGTATAGTTTGAGCTCTTAGTAGGGATGCACAAATTTCTTAAAACGTCGATACTGGCATCGAATGATATACTAAAAACAAAGTATCGATGGCATTAGAATGACCGAACAAATATAAACATTCCAAATGTAATATTAAAACAAAGCAAAACTAAGAAAATTATTATTTTTTAATAAAATATTAGAGGGCGCATTTGTGCGATAAAAATTTGTGTATTTTTAATTGTGACCGATTTAAATAAAGATACAATATGCTGAAGAATGGAAAATATCGAATAAAACATCGATGTCGGTCGATGTTATTAAAAAATAAAATCGACGAAAATTGAAACATCGCGTCGAAAGCCAAATATCGATGTTTTTCAAACATGACGTATCGTGCGCATCCCTAGCTCTAAGTTACGCCTCTCGATACTAGAGGATGTAGAAGAGCTTCCTGGTCCTGGACCATATTTTTATTAGAATTAAAAAGTCTCAGACAGTGCAACACCCAAGTTACAGTTAAAATTTAAAGTTAATAATACTTACTTGCTATTGTTTAAAATGTCAGAAATATGGAACTATTATACTAAAGACGATTCAAAGCAAAACGCAATTTGCAACATTTGCTAAAACTCTTTCAAATATTCTGGAAGTACTAGTACTCTTTGGAGCCACCTGACAAGCCCAGTTTCAGAATAATTTGACAAACGATTTCATTTGAAGGATACCTTGAGACGAATAAGTTTGAAAACATTTCAACTGCAGACTTTGCAACCTATATTGACCCCAGATATAAAAATATTGATAGAAAAATGGGCTTTCGGTTGAAAGTCAAGTACGAGTTGGAAAAACAAATTAGAACTATGTCTAAGGAAATGGATGAGATGACAACTAATTCTGAATCTGAAGCCAACAAAAAATCGGAAATACACATTTTATTTCCAGAAGATTCTGGACCTAGTAATTATCTTTCTGAAGTCGAGGAATACAATTCTGAGATATTATGACAAAAGGATCAAAATCCATTAACTTGATGGAAAAACAATGCGAATAAATACTCGTTATTTTCTGTGCTGGCCGAATCCGTTCCGGTTCGACCGGCTCGGTTTGATGGGACCGGTTAACCGGACAATCAGACGTAAACCAGATAATCTGACCGGTTAACTGGATAATCTGACCGGTTGATCAGATATCCGGACCGGTTAACCGGATATCTGGACCGGTTAACAGGATAATCGGACCGGATATCCGGACCGGTTATAATAATAGTAAAAAGCCGGTTAAAACCGAAACCGGTTAAAATCAGTCGAACCGGTTAACCGTTTATCAAGCCAGGAATTGACAGCCTTAGTATTTACCGTCCTGGACTTTTTGAAATGCAAGAAAATACACATTTGATGGATATGGTCAAGAGAGCAAACAAACGTCGTTATATTTGGAAATTATAACAATCGCGAAATAGACTGGGCAACTCTAACACTGACTGAAAGCAACATAGAAGCGAGGAATTTTATTAAATCATACACAGAATCCAGTTGCAAACAACATATAAATTTCCATACTAGAGTCAACAGTCAGTAATCCTCGCTCAACTTACTATTAGTCAATGACAAAAACTAATAATATCCATTAATCATACAGTGTTAAAAAGTGAAACTTCTGAAAAGCAGATTATACATTAATCAATAGAGAGATAGCTCAACATAGTGCACATTTGCAAGATGCTCCTAATAGTTCTTACGAAACTTTAACAAACATACTGGAAAAGATAATAATTGACAATATTCCACTAAAGTAATAAATAAAAACAATCGAACCCACTTCAAATGAATTAATAAAAAACGGAACCTATGGGGCATAGATACAGGTCAACAAGAGCTGAGGAAGATTATGCTGCATATAGAAATCAAAACAATAAACTTATAAATTTATTGGTTGAATCTAGAAAAGATTATGAACATAATAACCTCTCAAAAAGTGGCAAAAAGAAATTTTACTCCTACGAAAAAGGAATACTGAATACAAACAGCACGCAGATCACGGCTAAGAAACCCTACACATTTAGCAATCACAGAACCAGAAAAATTTATTATTCGAAGCCCTCAGTGTAAAATGAATGTAAGCTTAAAACATCTGTTAACAAGGATACTAACCACATACCAATTATTTTTACCTCTAATCCGAAAGATTTTTTCGTAATATTTATATTTAAATAATTTTTCTAATTTATATTTGACAGATTTACAACAAAATTTAAAACTCAATTTTCTCAAAACTTACGATGTGGCATGTAACCTTATTACGCCAAGGTCTTCATTGATAAGTCTGGATTTAAAAAGTGTGGCATTTGACTAAAAAGCGTGGCGTTTTGGTAACAAGCGTGGCATTTTGGAACTTTGGCGTGACGAGTGGAAAAGCGTGGCAATCATGCCTAAAAGGGGATGTCTGGCAACCCTATAGAAGAGTCAGGGGCGATATTACAGATAAAAACAAAATGTAAAGAAAATTTTATTTAATTTGAACCAGAGGCAGAATCGAGTAGCAGAAGGAGAGTTGACTGAGGAAGTAGAGGCTATTAAACGGAACGAGAAGGCAGAACAGATAAGAAAAGACCGAGGGAGAAGCATAAGAGCAATAGAGAAAGAACAGTCGGGGCATCACAGCTTACAAGACAAGATAAAAATATATTTAAACTTTGATTATTTTAGTATTATTTTTTTTTAAGTCTATATTGATTTTGTAGATCTTGGCCTCACATGGTTTTGAAATTTTTTTTTTAACTGGAAATTCATATACTGGAAATTCCATATCAATTGTTTTATTATAGAATAACACTAAGTTATTTAGGATAAAAAATAAACGCTAAGAAACAGAAGAATCATTTTGAATCTGTAAAACGAGAAGATATTGGAGGATGGAGGAACGAGTTTAGATTGAGACTGAAGATAAATGGTAGTCAAAACGATTTACATTCGTTAAAGATACTCACCTGGCGTACTTCACAGCGGCCTGATTTGCCAGCCATCCGATGGTGTTTGTCTGAACTTGCGATAATAACACTGGCACTCTAAAAACTTTTCCCTCGATTCTCACATCAACGAATACCATCAAATCACTCGTCAGCGGGACGTTCGCTGTGTGTTCCTGGTTCCCGATCGGTTGGGTGTACTGCTGCGGGATTTGATTGATCGTTTGTGCCGGAGTTACCGACTGTATTTAGGAAAAAATATCAACGATTAGTAGTGAAAGAAAAGTAAAAAAAAAAAGTTATAAATCTATCGATGAGTTGCCAACATTGAGCCGATGCTGATTCGAAGAAAAATAATTTAGTTGTAGAAAAATAAAAAATCATCACATTAAATAACATTCATTGCTATTATTATTTAACATAAAATTAATTTTATAAGGGATTTATTTTATGTGGAATTGATTTTATGCGGGATTGTTTACATGCGAGATTGATTTTATGCGGGAATGATTTTATACGGAAATGATTTTATGCGGGAATGATTTTATGTGGGATTGATTTTGATCAAATTGATTTAGGGGAGATTGCTTTAGATCAAATTGTAGCCAAAATCATATTGTAGGTTTCATTGAGTAGATTCCGAATCACTTTAAGAATAGCGTAGCCATGGGCGATTAAAGAAAACTTCGATTGTCAGAGGTGAAAAGATTGACCCTGAAGGTACCAAATCGACAAATTTTAATGTAAACCCGAAGCTTGCAGATCAAAATGACAACCCTAATATTTAATAATGTTTATTTTCACCTGAACGGGCTGGCTAACAGTAGAATCGGCTTCGGCGAAGCTCCTGTTATTTCCGAACGACGTAATTTTCTTTTGTCTAATCGAATGATCCAAGCTCCTGTGCCTTTGGAACGTCGAAGAGGCGGATTTTCCGGCGACGCTCCTAGAAGAAGACTTATTGAAACCGGAATCGAGTAATGACGCTTGGATTTTTCGTTTGGCGGCGTTCCGGGAGATGGAGGAGTTTCGTTTGTTGAACGGGCTGGTCGCGGGGACGTTTATTACGTCATCTAAGTCTTCGTTTATCAAACGGGCGTTTTCGTCGCTCAATCTCTTCGATGCTGCAATAAGTGGAAAAAGTGAGCCGGTACATTTGAACTATTCTAATAATATTCGTTGGTGGGTCGTAGAAAAAACATACTGTACAACTTGAGTGGATTGTCCATATCGCAATTAGACGATTGAGCACTCCGCATACGGCATCGTGCTCAAATTTCGTCTTCGTGCGATATGGCCATCATATCCACTCTTGTTACACAAAATACTATTTAAATTATGTAACACCAAAGTCAAGCACATTTTGCTTCTAACTACACTAGAGAAAACAATTTTTCATTTCTTTTTAATGTTAATTTTACTTCAATAAAAGTAAAAAGTGATAATAGCGAATTGAGTACTTCACGCAATAGTTTTAAAATTTTTTCTCGCTCTTACGTATATGTTAACAGTTAGCAACCCCCATTTGCGGGCCATTTTGCATAGGCAACCGCATTCCATCGTGTAGAGATAGACATTAGCTTCAATTTGATATATGAACGTATACATTAAACCGTAGTTATACCTGTTTAACAAGAGGTTGCAGCCAAGTGAGAAAAGACAACCCAAACTTTTTAAAATTCTTTATATATCTATCTCTGTTTGAAATGAATTATATTTTACCTTCAAAACAAGTAAACGAAGTTTTTAAAAAAATTAATTAAATTTTAATTAAAAGTACTTGATAGGCAACCCTGCAAAATTATATTTTTCTATAAATCTATAAAAATTGTATTTGATTAAAAAACAGATGAGTGTAGTAAAAACACGGTCGGATCTAGTACTATAATTACTTACGGGATATATTTTTCGACGACGTATTGTTCCTTGTCGACGACGTAACGACGTAATCCAATGAGCTGGTTCTTCTTTTCTTTGTCGCTTTGTTCGATTGTAGATCGTCATCTAACCAATCGTCGAAAGCGTCGTTGTCGTAAAAGAGAGCCGATCTTTTTCCGACGTTCTGATGACTTGCGGTTTCGTGATGCTTTGTGGCTTTCGAAGACTTCTTGCTTAGATTGTTCATGATTTCTTGGTATTCGTCGAGTAGGTCGGGAGAGACGCCACTCCTCGGAAAATTTCGTTCGCCTACAGACGTCATATCTTCCTCTTCGTCGGATTTTTCGAAAAACGGCTCGTCCCCGTCCAACTGCTGCTCTTCTGGATACTCTTCGGACCACTCTTCAATTCGGTCGTGAACTACGACAGTCTCTGAGACGTTCTGACCGGCTTTTTTTAAAGCTTCGGACATTCTATCGACGACCGTTCGGTAAATGTCGAATTCTTCGCCGACGAAGGGATATTTCTGGTGGCAGCATTTCAGTACATTTAAAGGTGTATCGCCGTTGTCTGCTTTGATGGTAACGGATGCTCCTCTGTCTAGCAACAGCTGGACGATGCGTATGTGTCCGTTGTTCGCTGCGTCGTATATCGGTGTGATGCCTTTAATAAAGACATTTCAGAGAATTTAGGTAGGAAAAAAAAATTAAAATTTAGAGAATTAATGTTAAATTTTAAGAAAATAAAGTCAAAATATTGAGAATAAAGTCAAAATATCGAGAATAAAGTCAAAGTCAAAATATCGAGAATAAAGTCAAAATATCGAGAATAAAGTCAACATATCGAGAAAAAAGGCAAGTGCAAGTCGGATAAGAGATTATGGTGTGCCTGATGATGAGATATAAAGGACCTGTTTTCATTCTTTTTTCCACCTTTAATCCATTAACTCACACATGGCTACCCCAAGTTTGATAGTTTCTTGAGATTCTCGAATTTTTTAGCAACGTGCAACGTCTACTTTAATGTCTTTATGACGTGCATTGGAAATGTTATCATTAACTTTACTTATTTATCATTTGATGTTAAATGTAAAGTCACAAAACTACTATAAACTTAAGAAAATCGGCAACTAAAGAATCATTTTTGCTTTTTGAAGCTGTTTGAGTGGTAACAAAGGCCCATAAAATTCATCTCTCTTGTTTTGACGTTCTTTATCAACTTTCGCATCAGATGTGAGTAATATGTGTGTTGTATGGAAGTATTACAGAAAACGAGTATTATACAGTTCATGAACCAATTTTAAAAGAAATAAATAATTGTAAAAAAAATATACAAAGCCTACCTTCGCATTTTACGCCGCCTCTATCGTTGATGGCGGCCCCCTTGTCCAACAGCAGCTCGACGATCTCGTAATATCCATGGTTGCAAGCCTCGTGTAAGGGCAACCATCCCGTATTGTCCCGCACGTTCACGGGATGGCCTTGTTCCAAAAGATGTTTAACCACCGGGACTTTCCCGTTGATGCAAGCCACGTGCAACTGTGATTCCCCCTTGGCGTTTTTCTTCACCGCGAAAGTTTTAGATCTGCGTTTGCCTACGGCGACGACTTGAGCATCATTGACCGATGGGTTTTGTTCGACGTCTGAGTTATCGGAAATGTCTAAAAATTATTTTTTGATGTCTACTCATAAAAAACTTTGTTGGAAATATAATTGATCTAATATGAATTGAATAAATGTTTTTTTAAGGTTTGTACTGCGGCAATGTTAAATTATAAAAAGAAAGGTATAACGGTAACGTTAAGCCTATAGTATAGGTTTTTTTCGTCCATAAAGTATTTCTTTACGTATATTTGCTTAAAATAAAACTTATGCGACTAGTCAAAAGTTTCAATGCATTCAACTTCCACCCTGTATCACCGTACACATTCACACAACACACATTTATATTATCCAGTTCTCAGCAGTTTTAAATTATAGGAATTTTATACTTAATATAATATGTTTACAAGATTTAAAATATGTCTAACACAAATAGGCATAGGTAGACTTGTTTTATGATACCTTCCTTGTGCAAGTTGTAATATTTATGCTAAAATGTACCTTTAATATCCTTCCTTGTTGTGGTAAATGCTCACAATAATCTCTACACTAGACAACAATCCTTGTGGTAACCATGAACTTTACAAGCAGCACATTTCATTAGCTGGGACATGGTGTGATTGTCGTGGATATTCTTGATACCTTTTACAAGCACTAGACAACAATCCTTGTGGTAAAAATGTTACCTATGAGCTTTACAAACAGCACATTTCGTTAACTAAGACATGATTTATTTGTCGTGGATATTTTTAATAATTTTCACAAACATTAAACGACAATTTATACTCGTTTTAGGGTTTTTGGGCCCAGTATTTGTATCCGGTGTTTGGAACCAGCGTTTCGGTTTGATATTGAAGTATTGAAGATACTGTTAGGTACCAGTGTTTCGACTGGGAATTGCTGTTACTACAGAGATTTGGCATTGTACGAATACAGTGCCACAGGCGGCATCTTTTGCCTGTCGATTTCAGGGACTAGAAGATAAGTGAAAGATTTTATTTTTATTACTTTGGGGTATGTTTTTGGGGTAATATTTGGCCTACGACTGATACGTAGATGTATAAGTATATTCTATAAGACGTTAAATTGATATGCTAGCTCATGTGCTATTAAGGGCCCATGACGATTAGTAAATATTTTAGTATAGTTCATATAATAATACAACATTAAGGGGACTGGGTATTTTACTATGTTTATTAAAATTGATGTTATTGATAGTAGTATTTTAGATTATAAGTCTCTGGGTATATAAATCTGTTTATACAGAAACTAAAAGATTTTTATGACTAGTTGCAGTTAACTTTTCTTTTGGTTGCGCTTGACACGTCTTTCGCCTTGCTAATGACCGTGAGGTACTAACTGGTAATTTTACTGTTTACTGCTAAGGCATTACATACATTGTTTTTTAATTATTTTGGGGTTATTACAGGCCTATATGTACAGTGTATTCATTTGCGATTTACATTATGCAAGGGCCAATATTAAAACAGGGATTGTAAGGGGCGTTAACTCGGGGTAAGGAGATAGACAAAATATTTTCCGATTTGTAAATAAACAATATCTAAGTTAAGATTATCTTTTTATTTCCTATTTATTTGGTAAATTTAAAAGTAGGACTTTTCTGGATTTAAAGAGGCTCAATATAAAAGATCTACCTGGCGTGCAACCTAACATCAAAAATATAGTATTTTTCCCAGATTACAAAGTAATCACCCACTCCCATCTCCACTAGAGTGAACCGGAGCCACAAGGTTGACATCTGGGATAACCTAACTTTTGTGTCACGTTAATCTGACGTTACAAAGAAAACAAACTAGCCAGAAAATAATTTATCGAGGTGAAATACCTTCTAAAGGATTTATTAATAGAGGAGTACCACAGAGATCAATCCTCGGCCCGATACTGTATACTGTGTATGTTAGTAATATTCCTTGTAACTTGAATCACATGAAAATACATATGTACGTGGACAACAATATTAGGCAAAATATTTTTTTAATAATTCAGTAACACATAACCACCATTTTTGAAAATTATTAGATTTTATATGTTTACTCTTAATTTATATTTTTAAATTTACGCGCCGCGCTACTGACCAACTAGCGTTGTGAATTTTTTGGTCCAGATATGCTGAGTAATAGAAGTTAGTAGTTGGCCATAAGCGGCCAACGGCAAATCGCCAGTTGTATTCTGACAATAAAATGAGTTTAATTGAATTATCGTGTTTATATAATTGAAAAAGAGTCTGAGTGATCTAATTTCGATAAACAATAAATAAACTTAACTTATATATTTAGAAAACAATATAATCTATTCAATGAACAATACAGTAGTAAAGATTTTGTGTGACAGTTCCAATTATCGTTTTGTTTTATATAATATATTCATTTTAACTCTGGGCTGTTCATTACTCGAGACTACGCCGATACTGCGTCTTTTAACTACCATTCACATTAATATTATTCTTGCTATATGGTTTTTTGTATTTTTGTATTTTTTTTGTATTTTTTTGTATTTTTTTTGTATTTTTTTGTATTTTTTTGTATTTTTCTTTGTATTTTTTTGTATTTTCTTTTTGGTATTTTTTTGTATTTTTTGTATTTTTTTGTTTATTTTATTTTTGTATAAACGGTACCTATTATTTTATTTTTTAATTTATTATCTGTTGGATATTGGTTAATAAAAACATATTATTTTTGTGGGTCACTCTTTATAATAGTCATCGAGATAGAATAAAGTAGAGACGACATAAACACTATTTGGCGATATGACAGATGGGCGTACTTCGAGTGACAGAAAAGTGTAATGAAAATGGCGATTTGAGTGGTACTTCGATTTTTTTGAAGTCAATAACTTTATATTTGAAGACTGACGGAATAAAAATAATTTTATATCATTTAAATGAAGCTACTTAAGTTCCCCCACTTGCAACAATCGCACGGCTTAAACACTGGTAAATGTTACATTTTTGGTCTGGTCTAAGGTTTCCCATTACTACCTTGCAGAAACCAATATGAAAACAAATAAGATGCTTGGAAAATAATATATTTCAAAACGGAGAAGAATTCTGCACTTATATGCAAATCGGGAAGTTCAAAGTAAATCGGACGATAAAGTTTTCATTCTAATATTCAATTCATATTAGATAGATTTATACCTATGCGTGTACAAACCTGTAATGTTACTCAAATCAATATTTTCTTTATCAGACGCTTCGCTGTCGCTATCAGACGATGAAGATAGTGCTTCGCACGGCGGTAACGAATTTAATTGTTGCTTGAATTGTTGAAGATCCTGTTCACTTTTAACCCTATTTAGATAAGCGATACATCTCATAATCATTCTTCTTTCCTCTTTCGAGTTATTATTGTTTCTGCAATTAATTATAGCTGTATTATAAACGGCTTTAACTTCTTCGATCGAAAATCCCCCTGCTTCCTTTGTATCGGCTATTTTACTTAAAGTGTTTAGATTATCTTGAAGTTTCGTGCATAACGCGTATTCTTTTTCGAAATATTTCACGGCTTCTTCGTACATTTTGTTGTCTTTGTAGGTTTCGGCTAAACTGTAATAGCAAGAAGCTAATTCCCGGCCGCTTATACCGGATTTTTCAGCGTACGTTAACATCAATTTGTAGTATTCCAAAGCCTTTGAATAATTTTTAAAATTGCAAGCACAATCGCCCATTTTTTCGTACAGTTTTTTCAATTCTTTGTTATCGTTGGTTTCAATTACCAGCTTGTCTTCGGTTTGGCACATGATGACAACTAAAAACTTTCTAAATGAAGGAAAAAAAAAATGATCATGATTATAAAAGCTTACCAGTTTTTAAAAATCGTTCAATTATAGCTCTTTCTTGAATATTAGGACTATTGAGTTTGTAAGCTTTATAAAGAGTTTTCTTGGCCGTATGAAAGTCCTCTAGTTTTATTAAAGCCTCGGATTTTGAGAGTAAAGCTGTGCACATTAGATCAACGCATCCTTTCAGTTTTTCTAAAATTGTTTAAACGTCATTATTATGTAAAAATATTAATAGTTGAGAGTCACAAAAAGTGTTTTAAAAGTAAATAAAAAAAATGTGAAATTAGCAAAAAAAATATTACAACTTTGACATCCTCCAACTTTTTTATTTAATATTTCATTGAATAAATTTAAAGCTAATAAGCTACAGACCATTAACTACAAACCACTCTGTTTATAAATGATGGTAAAAATAAATTAAACGAGGTGTAACAAAAAGTTGTACAGTTAATTTAACCACAGTTTCAGAGGTCGACAATAAGTAGATTTAAATTAACTTGCTTACATAAAAAATGGATAGTAAAAAAATTACATGGTATGAAAGTAAACATTTTAGAAGTACCTAATTTGTTGTTTTTACTCTAATACGGCTTAACATATTGTAATGTTTGTTTATTTTAAACAACAGTTTATTTATTAATAATATCTATTTAAACATTTATCAACCGACTTTAAAAAGACATGAGGTTCTCAATTCGTCGCAATATTTTTTTACTTTCCTATCTGTATACAGATATAAGGAAAGTATAGGAATCATGATTTTTTTCGACCTCGAGTTTTCGACGGATTTTTACGTTTTGAGGTCCCCTGAATCCGTTTTGACTATTTTCGCGATGATGTCTGTCTGTGTGTGTGTGTGTCTGTATAACGCATAACTCATGAACCGATACACGGAAAAACACCAAATTTCAAACTTAAGCTTTGTTCCAGCGTCTAATGAGCTGATTAGATTTTGGGCAGAGTCGGAACATCTGGGGGGGTACTTTATGGGTGGTCATTTTTATATTTTATGTAATATATCTGTTATTTACGTTTGGGGAAGAAAATTCTTCAAATGAAAGTTACTTCTTATTTTATTATCTATAATTTTTGTTATATACAAAATTTTCCTAAAATGGTCCGTATTCGCGAAATTTGACAAAATGTAAAAAAATATTTTTTTTTATAAAAATTGTTCAAACAAAAGTTGTTTGTAATATAATTCTCTATAATTTTTATTCCATAGATAATTTCTCTAAAATGGACCGTATTCGAGATATTTGAGAAAATGTGTAAATTTCGAAATTTGAAGAAAACTCAAAAACGGATAAAGAAAAAAACATTAAATTTTAAACTTAAGTTTTATTTCGGCCTGACGTGAAATGATTAGATTTTGGACAAAGTCGGAACATCTGGGGGGGTACTTTATGGGAGGCCGTTTTTATATTTTATGGAATATATCTGTTATTTATGTTTGGAGAAAAAAATTGTTCAAATAAAAGTTACTTCTAATAATATTATCTATAATTTTTGCTTTATGTAAAAATTTCCTGAAATGGTCCGTATTCGAAAAATTTGACAAAATGTGCAAAATTCTGTGTTGGGAATATCTTTCAGCAATAGACGGATTTGTAGTAATGATTTATTAATTTGTAAATTCACAAGTTAATCAATGTACTCAAATTCCTAAAATAACATGAATAAAAATATAGAATCAACAAATTCTCTATTACTTACTGTTCCACTGTGCTGATTATTACTTTCTTATATTATTCTGACAATTATTTTATTATTTTTGATTAAGACCTAGTTTTTGGAAAAGTAAGTAACATAAACAATTTTTTCCATAAAATCTTAGAAACAAAACAAGATAAAAAAATACAGGATGTTAAAATAAGAATTTTAAAATATGTTAAACATTATTCGTAACACTCCCGCCCAGTACATTTCTCTCGCAAAGAGAAGATGTACTGTCTGTTTGTTTTTCGTTTAAAGGTATTAATGCTAACTTGACAACAGGACGTTCAAAAATCCCATTTTTTGTATGAACTGTTGCCCGTCGTACTTGTCCGTCAGGTGACTTTTTTACTTGAATTACTTTACCCTTTGGCCAATTGCATCTTGGTAAATCTTTATCACATATAATTACAATATCGCCCTCTTTAATGGGGACAACTTGTTTTTGCCATTTTGGTCTCAGCAGTAGCTGAGGTATATATTCGGAGATAAAACGGCGCCAACATTTATTTGCAAATTGTTCTCGATATAAATAACTAAATTTTAATACATTACTGTTGTCATCTAGTCGTCCGATCGGTTTATCACCATTTGAAGATCCCATTAAAAAGTGATTAGGAGTTAGAGCTTCGGACTCTTCCGAATCTAATGAAAGGTAAGTGAGAGGTCTCGAATTTACTATGTTTTCTGCAGCTACTAGACAGCTATAAAGCAATTGATCGGTGGGATTCCTAGTAGGAAGAGCATCATATAATGAAATTTTTACAGCTTTCACCAGACGCTCCCAAGCTCCTGCCATATGGGGAGAAATTGGTGCGTTAAAGTGAAATGTTAGCGTGGGACTTACTAGTGAATTCGCTATTAAAGCATTGTCAACCTTTTGCAGTTCTTCTCTCAAAACTCTTTCCGTTGCAACGAAATTTGTTCCACGATCACAATAAATATGCCTTGGTCGTCCTCTTCTATTAATAAAATTTGTAAAGCATAGTATACAACTGTCAGCATCCAACTTGTAGGCTAGTTCGAGGTGAACAGCTCTAGTTGTAAGACATGTAAACAAGGCTCCCCATCTTTTCTCCGTTCGTCTTCCAACTGTTACATTCATGGGACCAAAGTAATCATCGCCAGTATGTGTAAATGGTGCAGTAAATGTTGTTAGTCTACATGGAGGAAGCGGTGACATTTCGGGTGGTTTTGGTATGGCAAAGTTTACTTTACAATATTGGCAGTTATTTCTGATTTTATTAACCATCCGTCGAAGTTTTGGAATATAAAATTTTTGTCTTACCTCATTTACTACAGTTTCGTGATTTCGATGACGGTAGTTTCTGTGGTAGTCCTCAACGATTAATAAAGTTAAACGGCTCTCTCTTGGTAAAATGATTGGTCTTTTTGTGTCTGTACTGAGATCTGTTGCTTCATCTAGCCTTCCCCGGATGCGAAGTAAACTATCTTCGTCCAGGTATGGTGATAACTTAAATAAATTACTTGATTTCTTTACTGTTGACTGAATTTTACTGCTATTTTTCCTATTAAGTTGTTTAATTTCATTTTCATAATATTCCATTTGGACCTGTTTTATTAAAATATTCCTGGCAGCTAATAATTCTTCTGAAGTTAATGTACTATCGGATTCGTTTTTAACTTGACCTTTGGTTTGAAGACGTTTAATAAATCTATAGGTGTATGCAGTTGCACGTAAAACTCTTTTAAACTGGCTAAATCTATCTAGATTTATTAAAGGTGCAGTTATATTATTAATATTAGCGTCATGATTCGTCAATAAATCCGTAATATTATTTGTTTTTAAGCTGGTATCCGAAGGCCAATTGATTTCTGACTTATATAAGAAATCAGGTCCTTTTAACCACCGGCCGGAATTTTTTAAATTAGATTGATTTGTCCACTTGGTGGCTTCATCAGCTACATTATTTTTTGTTGGGACATATCTCCAATTCGAAATCATCGAGTTTTCTTGAATTTCGGCCACCCTGTATGCTACGTATTTCGACAGTTTTCTTGGATCTTCGTTTCTTAACCAACTTAAAACTATTATAGAATCGGACCAATAAAAAATGTCTTGCACGTTTATTGACAAGTGTTGGCAAAGATTTTTAGCAAACCTTGCACCCATTACTGCACCATCAAGTTCCAATCTAGGAATGGTTTGTGGTTTCAAGGGTGCTACGTGAGTTTTGGCTCCAATCAATACGCATTCTATTGTTTCCTTCTCCTCTATTCTTAAATAAGCTACGCAGGCACTAGCATATTCACTGGCATCTACAAAAACATGCATTTGAGTAATTGTAGCATTCCAAGTTTCTAGATTATTGAGGTAGCATCTTGGAATTGAAACTTGTTCTATTTGTGGAAGTTGTTTTAACCAGACAAGCCATTTTTTGTATAGCTCATCGGTGATTGGTTGATCCCAAGAAATATTGCTCCTCCATATTTCTTGGAGAAGTATTTTTACGTAAATTAAAAAATTTGCCAGTAAACCTAGAGGGTCATAAACCGACATTAAAATTTGTAAAATCTCTCTTTTAGTAGGCTTTCTTGTCCCTTTTAAAACTTCTTTGTTACCTTTATTTAGACTTAAATTGAAAATAAAATTATCTGACTCTAAGTCCCACCACATACCTAGCACCTTTTCCATGGTTTTGGTTCCTAAGTCGAGGTTGACTTCCAATTTAACTTCCTGTTCGGAGTTCATTGTTTTTGTCAATTCTTGCGAGTTTGATCGCCAATTTCTTATCTCAAAATTTCCTCTAGCATGTATCAAAGTTACTTCTTTTGCAATTTGTATAGCTTGTTCTTCGGTATCAGCTGAATCCAAGAGATCGTCGACATAGTGATTTTTAAGTATACACTCAACAGCTCTTGGATATTTTGCCCTAAATTTCTGTGCGTTAGTGTTTTTCACAAACTGCGCACAGCTGGGTGAGCAAGTAGCCCCAAAGGTCATTACAGTCATGACATAAGTTTCTAAAGGGTTTTCAGAACTACCACTACGCCAAAAAAATCGTTGTGCGTGTTGATCTTTGTCTATTATTCCAACACGAAGAAACATTTCTTTGATATCTGCCGAAAACCCAATCTTCCTTTCGCGGAATCGAAGGAGAACGCCTAATAAGGAAGCAAGTTGATCATCTCCTTTTAATAACATAGTATTTAATGATACTCCTTGAACAGTCGCTGCTGCATCCCACACTATTCTAAACTTGCCGGGTTTATTGGGATTGAAGACAGGAAATATAGGAAGGTACCAAGTTTTTTCTTTATTTTGTGAAAGTTCTTGTTCTGACAACTTTCTTATATATCTTTTTTTCAAGAAGTCTTCAAGTTGTTTATTCATTTTTTCACCTAGATCTGGATTTTTATTAATTTTTCTCTCTATACATTCAAGCCTTTGCAATGCCATAGGTTTGCTATTAGGGAGATTCACGATGTCATATTTCCAAAGTAACCCAATTTTA